ATTATAGTTGTGATCTGCTCCTTCCATTTGCCATGAATATTGTTCATGCCTTCACCATTCTTTTAAGACTATCAGTCTACCATCTCCCTTCCTACCCTGCACTTTGCTTTCTACATAATAGAAAAAAAGGAGGTAGAGCTCCTCAAACTCTTCCCTTTTATAATAGAGTACACTATCTAGGCCAGCTTTACCACTGGGATGTTGATGTACAAAGACTCTATGAATGGCCCAGGTTGCAGGCTTCAGCACCAGAAACTTTTTACCTTATCCACATAACCAAGCCTAAATAAGCTTTGATAAATAGATGCATATATGAAATATTTTAAAATATTTTTAAACCAAATTAACATTCTTGAGGTAAAAGATGCTATTACTGTAAATAAATCTTTATGAAAAAGAATTCAGTGTTTATTGCCAAGAAATATTTGTTTTTCACTTAATAGGTTTGTCTATAGAGGATATCACTGTGATCAGTTGGTATTTATCTTCTCAGGTTAGCAAATGATATAAGCCCATATAGCATTCAATTTTTAAAAATTATTCTAATACTGTGATTATAATTATCTAATATTTTTAGTCATTGCTACTAAAATCATAATGTAAAGTCTTTAAGGGAATTTAATATGAAATTATGAAATATATATCTATGAAACTCATAAGGATGAATTCAGATACCAGAGCACCAAAAATAAAAAAAATTTTTTTTTTTTGAGAAAGGTCTCACTATGTTGCCCAAGCTAGTCTTGAACTCCTGTCCACAAGCTATCCTGCCTCAGCCTCCCACAGTGCTGGGATTACAGTGTGAACACCCAGCTTCCAAATATTAAACAGAAAGAAAAGTCTCTGGGGAAATGACTTATGACAAAGATGTGAAATGTCATTTTTATTGTTTTAAAAGATCCTGCTATTTATCTTGACCATATAAAATCACATGGTCTTCTAAAATCCAGCTATGAATATATGATGATGGAGTAGAATACCACTGAACAAAACTATTAATAATACTCCATCAAGTGGAAAAGTTACCATTCAAGTTAAGGGCAGACATTTCTACTTTCACACTGTTGTATCTGAATGCTTATCATATACAAATTCCACTTCAGAGCCCCATCATCTTATTCTCTGAGAACAACTAAAGCACAAAATAATTGCTTCAACAAATCTATTTCAGACTGAAATGCAGCACACAATTCTAGACAGTTAAAAAAATCACAAGTTAGGTGAAACTACCAGTAAGTAAGCAATTTAAACCTACTGGTATAACATATCTTAAGGAACAACGAATCATTTACACAAATGATACTTACCCTAAGAAATAATTAAGGGAAAAACTTCAGATATCCTTGTTCTCAATATCAAGCAGTTTGAAAATATATTGCAGAGCTGCAGGTTCCTTTCTGTTTTCTAATGCAAGAACAAAGTCCAATAGGTCTTATAGTCCTATAGAAAAGAAAATGACATTCTTTAGAGGTCTTAGTTGAAATTAACTTTCAAGTGAATATTTGATGTATGAAGCTATCATACCATTAAATATGTCATTAAATATGAAATGTACTATTTCAAATCAAAATGTAGTTTATTATATCTCAAAGAGCAGTACAATTAATCAAGTATGCACTTAAACTATCGACACAGTTTTGCCATCTTAATGGTAGCTTGTTTATGCCAGCAGCAAGAAGCCTGGCAAGCAAGTGGCAACAAAATCTCAAAAGGTTATTCCACAGCCTGAGAATTTCCTTGCAAGAAGTGGTCCAAAGCCTGGAAGAATTGGTAGTCAGTTGGTGCAAGTCTGGTGAATATGATGGATGAGAGTTTGCAAGTCCAGCCTCTGTAGTTTGAGCAGTGTTGTTTGTGTGACATGTGGTCAAGTGTTGTCTTTTATGAGGATTGGCTGTCTCTACTGACCAATCTCGGCTGCTAACTGCAAGCATCCTCATCATTTGTCCAATTGGTTGCAACAGACATCTGCTGTAATCAATTGGGTTTCATGAAGAAGCTATAGTGGATACACCAGCACTGGACCACAGACAGACACCATTAGTTTGGATGAATATTCGTTTTTGGACTGTGTTTTAGCACTTCATCTTACCCAACCATTGTGCCAAACACTTGGAATTGTCAAAAAGAATCCATTTTTCATCACATGTAACAATATGGTGTGGAAATGGTTTGTCTTTATGTCATGACAGGAAAGACAAGCTTCGAGACAATTTCTCTGCTGATGCTCATTCATGCAGAACCCATCTATCCAGCTTCTCTACCTTGCCAATTTGTTTCCAATGGTCCAATATTGCTGGAATAGTAATGTCAAATGTTGCTGCTAATTCATGCATAGGCTGAGATGGATTTGCTTCCACTATAGCTCTCCACTCATCATTATCCACCTTGGTCTCAGGTCACTCACATGGCTCATTTTCAAGATTAAAATCACCAGAGTGGAACTTCTCAAACCATCAATGTATTGTGTGTTCATTAGCCACATCCTTCTGAAACAATTCGCTGATATTTTGAGCTATCTGCGCTGCATTGGTTCCACGAGGGAACTCATATTCGAAAATAACAGGCTTGGCACAGTGGCTTATGCCTGTAATCCTAACACTCAGAGGCTGAGGCGGAAGGATCCTTTGAGCTCAAGAGTTCGAGACCAGCCTGAGCCCTGAGTAAGAGTCTCTACTAAAAATAGAAAAATCAGCTAGACATGGGGCGTATGCCTGTAGTCCAGCTCCTCAGGAGGCTGAGTAGGAGGATTGCTTGAGCCCAGGAGTTTGAGATTGCTGTGAGCTAGGCTGATGCCATGGCACTCTAGCCTGGGTGACAGAACAAGACTGTCTTAAAAAGAAAAAAAAAAAAAAAAAAATAACACAAATTTTTGACTTATCCATGGTTTCACAAAAATTGCTTTAAAAAAAATCTGAAAGATAATTAATCACAAGCCAAAATGTGCATTTGAAAGACTAAAGATATACTTTCACAATAAAAATAAAACAAGAAGTGTCAAAGTAAAATGTCAGAGATATCAACTGTCATACCTAGTACTTAAGAAAATCGGACATTTCATACCTAACCTTTGCAATCAATGGAGGCAAATTTATTTTTTTAAGTTAATATGAAAAGCGAAATCCATTTATATACTTAATGCTGGTTTCTAGGAATTCTATTTGTAATCTGCACAGGACAATTTAGGGACATAGTTCATTTTCTTGTGGGAGAAATTTACTATGTTAAACCATAATTTTCTTTCATTATAATTTTAAAAGACACAAGACACTGACTAAGCTATTATACATTGCCACTAAATTTATATTTTATTTCAGTGTGGTTATTTGAAAATATTTTTTACCTGGAATGACAGAACATTTTATTTATTAGTATTTTTGGAGACAGGGTCTCACTTTGCCACCTAGGCTGGAGTGCAGCGGCCTGATCATAGCTCACTGTAACCTCAAACTCCTGGGCTCAAGCAATCCTCCTACTTCAGCCTCCCTAGTAGCAAGGACTCTGGGCACGTGCCACCATGCATAGCTCATTTTTTTTTTTTTAATTTTTTAGAGACAGGGTCTTGCTATTTTGCCCAGGCTGGTCTTGAACTGCTGGGCTCAAGCAATCCGCCTGCCTTGGCCTCCCAAAGTGCTAGAATAACAGGTGCATGCCACCGTGCCTGGCCTAGAACAGTATATTTGATATTTTTATATATTGTTTAAAAATTTTAAATCCAGATGATTTCCAGTAAGAAGCCATCTTGAGACTGCCAGATATTCTTTAGTGAGCTGACACCTTCTCATCCAAAAAAAAGGCAAAAGAATGCAAATGAAGGCTAGAAAGACATGAAGAGAACAGAAAACTTTCCCTGTGAAAAAGGAGAGATACTCATAGATTACCCTTTTGCATAGTTATAAGTAGAATAATTGAGATGCTTACTTAGAAAAAATTTTGTATTCTTGAATAAGATTTTTTAGGCTAGAATTAAGAATTTTTTCCTACAAAAATTACAGTATAAAGAGTTAAAAAAAAATTAGCCTCTTATGGCCAAGCTTAGTGGCTCACACCTGTAATCCTAGCACCAAATTTATCGGATTCTTAATACATGTTTTTAATAGCAAGAATGGTGATTTAAAAATGCTATTTAGAATTTTCCTGCTCAGGTATTTCACATTGTTGTGATAAAAGGACAAATGCATACTAGTTATCTTCCACTACTAATATAGCCACTTACAGAGACTAATACAACTTGATTCTGAGATTTAAATCATGGCATATATGGTACTTATCTGACCTGGTAATTTAATGACTGAATCATCTATATAAAAATAAAAAATCCATTGGCTTTTGGCTTTTTTTTTTTTACTAGTCCACACACCTATACAATAGGTGGACTGACAATGAAATAAACAAAATATTAAAATTTTTTATTTGCCCTGAGCTCATAAGGCAAATGTCTTTAAGTGAATTTACCTTAAAACCAAAGGCTCTGAATCTCAAGTAATTTAATCGTTTTTATACTTTTAAAGATACTATCACACACTGATGTAAATAATGGTGTTATGACATCAAGAAACAGACTTGTGAAAACTGTGGGAACATACATTTTTACAACTTATCAATAAATTTAAACTACTACCATTTCTCCATCATAAGTGAGACACTCCTGGAAAACGCGGTCTAGGAAAACATTGGTCATGGTTGCTGTTCCATAGCGGGAGAGTTCTTCTTTACTGAGCATGCCATTGTGATCCTTATCAAGATTCAAATACTGGCCTTGAGAAGAAAGATAACAAAAAGACACTTATGACCAAAATAAAATTTTAATGACAAGATAAAAGAACAGACATTAACAAAAACTTCTTTTTATTGGTTAAGATTTTGATTTTCAACCTAATCATGTTATAGTTAGGGTGGTGACCTATGTGCAATAATATCAGCTATCTTTGCAATCTCAATCAGAACAACTGTTTGTTTTTTTTTTAATTTTTATTATTATTTTTCTTCTTTTTTTCTTTTAGAACGTGTGGCAAGACAGAACAACTGTTAAGCTAGAACCAGTCAAAGAAAAGCCATCATGAAGACCATGGCCTTTGGGCTATTTCGCTTACATCATGATTTGTTTTCAATTTGCAACTTCTTAGAACATTTCTAGGTTTCAAAATTAAACAGAGGGTAGGGGTCAACAAAAGGCACTGAAAAGCATTTGAAAAACCAGCAATTGAAAGCAGAGATCAAGAATGCATACAGGAGTCAGAAGACCACTAAACAGGATAATGTAGCAGACTAGTGAAATTCAATAAAAGAGCAAACCAGTCCCTTAAACATCTCCTTCTGTGAACCCTGGGAACAGCATTTTGTAACAAAGCAAGACAATAGTTGATGTTCATAATGACGCTAAGTTAACAAAAAGAATCAAATTACATTGTTTGTTATATTGAAAAGTAAAAAAGAATAGAAACTTAAATGGGTTCCAAAAAGTTAAAACAATGGTATTCAAACAAGTAAATTTTAGTTATCTAGAATACTAGATATTTAGGTAATTAGAATATTTTGATCTTCAGGTAAAGTAGTCTATGTATAAAACTGTTCTCTGAACACCGGTTACCTAATGAATGGATAATTCAAATTTTAGCATTATGATAGGAACATACCATAAACCCTTAGGGCAGAAGGAGCAGAAAACCAATTTGTTTCTTGACTCTCCTTAGACAGTTCCTCATCCCTTAGCTAAAAGAACACAGAGACATACTTAAAATATAGCAACCATCAAGTGACATAATTATGTAATTTAAAAACATTTACCTCCAATAAATCATCTAGGAAGCTGCAGGCTAAAATATCTTGAATTTTTATCTTCCCTTTAAAGAACATAAACACAATTAGTGAATTTCAAGAACAAGACCAGCTCAGTTTTTTAAAGGTATTATTTTACAAGAGCAATCACAGTTGATATTTTAAAGCTTCTAGTTCTTACGTTCTGAAGACCTTATTACATATTGCTATGAAAAGGGAAGCCTGCAGGGAACATTTAATAAAATCTGTGCTTGTACATCTACTTGTGTGCCCCCAACTATATAAATATAAGTAGTAAATTCTTTTCTAGGGTTACACTGATATCAGATTTCTAGAAAAGTTATGCTGAATATTTTGTGATTAATAGATACGATACTGCTGGTAATCAAATAAGGAGACTGTGTCCATTTTTCCTTGGCTGGTTCTGGAAAAGGAAGAAATATAGAGGTGTGGCTAAAAGCAGACAGATGGGAGCGTGAATGCCACTTATACATATGTAATCTAGCTAAGTCTCAGTTGCCTCTCACATAAAATGTGGACAATAATAATATCTTCTTTATGGGGTTATGAGAAGAAAATGAAAGAATCCATGTAAAATGCTTAGTGCAGTACACATCATAAAGTCAAAACAGCTATTATTTTATAAAATTTCAAAGGGAAAGGATGTGTATGTATGTGCCTACAGTGGAGGAGTTTAAAAAAAGATTGTTAGCTACTATGTTCTGTGATTGGACTCATGGCTGGATTTTCAAGGACAGAAGGAGAATCAAAGACTTTGATTTGGGCCTTCTCTGTCCCTTCCTCTGTTCCACTTACACATATTTAAGTCTTGGCAGGTTAGAACAATTATTTAAGCATACCATTAATGAGGTCATACTTACTAATCTGATGCCCATATAATCTGATATAGTTAACTTGAAAAAGAGAAAAATACATCATGACTGATTGGCTCCAATATCCCCAAATGCTTATTTTTTCATCAAAAAGAACAATTCCACTATGTCACATATCAGGGAGAGCAAATTTTATCAGAATACCCAGCTTCTTATAAGTGGAAGGAGCCATAATGATTACCCAGTTTCATACTTCATATTAGGGATGAAGAAAACTACAAGAGGTTAGGTGACATCCCCACTGTCACACAGCTGGTAATGATCAGTACAAGTAAATCATAAAAGATCTTTAAATAAACCTTAACCAAAGGACTACTGCTATTTTCTACTTTTCTACCTCCTTAAGATTCACCAGATTATTAATGGCAATGATGTGTTAGGAAAATAAATAACTGACATTTTTCAATTCTTTTCTCTAGTTATTGGGATCTAGACATAATATCTAAGTTAGGTAAGTTTTATTTTTTTACCTGTTCTTAGAGGGTCTAAAAAGAAGAAGAACTTCCTAACTGCCGTACAAACATAAAAGGAATAAAAGGATTTTTCCAGCCCATCTAATTGTGGCAAAGTAGGGATAAGTTCCAATATGTAGTTTTCTAAATCCTAAAAACAAAATAAAACATTAAAGTGTTAAACATCCAATCTTTGTAACCACAGAACCTAGTCAAGGAAAAAAAAAATCCAATCTTGAGTCTTCATCACATACTAGAATATAATTTTGGCCCTAAAACTTATTTAGCATTAATATTACACTGATGATGAAATAAATTCATAACTGTTAGTGGTCAAACTACTTTACATTTTTGTTTCTACTAATTTACTTTTTAAGTTTTAACATATTTTGAAAAAGTAATATATTCTACATAGTTCTGAATTCAAAAGGAACAATGACACTGTGTGTGTGTGTATATATATATATATAATTCCCTCTTTTTACACAAGATATAGCAGCATACTATGAAAATTGCTTTTATCATTTAATATACTTTATAGTCATTCCATATTGACTCTCATAGAGTTTCTACGATTCTAAGTAGCTATATTATTTCATTGTATTGATGTACCATAATCTATTTAACTAGGCCTCTATTTATGGACATTTAGGTTGTTTCTAATCTTTTGCTATACTAAACAATACTATAAGGGCTAAGGTAATTTTTCATTCATAAATATTGTGGAAGAATACAGAATACAGTTTCTGTAAGTGGACCTGCTGGGTTGAAGCATACGCACACATATAATTTTGATAAACACTGGCAAACTTCCCACCTTCCCATTAAGGCCACAGACATTTTGTTTTATACTTCCACCAGCAGCAATGGGAAGGCTATTTCTACAGTTCCCAAACTACACACCCAGGTGCGCCAGAAGTGCTAAAGTGAATGCACAGGGGTGCATCAGCATATTTAATTAAGTATTTTGAGGGAAACATAGTGATATCTGTCAGATACTGCATGACAGATGCTGCTATAAGCTAGAACCACTCATTCAAGATGGTTCCCATTTTCACCACTGAGTCACAATATATTCTTTTTGATGACATAAATCTTTACAAAGTTAGGTTTTTAATGGTTCCTGTGATAAAGCCAAGTATCACATGAAAATCAGTGTAGAACTGGAAATGAAGATTATTGTGTCCAATCAATTCCCAGGTTTAAGTAGTTGTATAGTGTTCCATGGGCACACACATCCATTAGTAACTGTCATTTAAGAATGCACTGCAAATACTATTTTCTTTCAACTTATGTGTGTTATTATTTCAAATGGCTAACAGGATAATAAACTTACTTAATGAATACTTTCACTAAATTATTTAGAACTGGTTAATAAATGGAACTGTTAGGGATTTCTTATGGCCCTGAGACAGTGAAAAAATTATGAAGACACTAATGGTGCTATTAAAAGCCTTATAAAACTTTCTGATCTTTGTCAATCTGACAGGTGAAAAATGGTATCTCAGTGTAGATTTACCTGCATTTTCCTATGTGAAGTTAAAGTTTTTTCTTATGATTAAGAAGCATCTGTATTTTACTTTTTGTACACTATTTATATCCTTTGCCCAGTTTTCTATTGGGTTAGTGGTCATTTTCTTCTTGATTTCTAGGAGCTTTTTATACATTAAGGTAATTGGCCATTTGTGACTTTCAGATATTTCCCCCATTTTGTTGTTTTCCTCTTACTTTATCATGGTCTTTGCCATACAGACTTTTTAAAATTTAACTGAAATTACTATTTTTCTAGACTTCTGCATTTTTCATACTTAGAAAGGCTTTCCCTATTCCAAGAATAGCTATTTAAAAGTCTCCCAGGGTTTCTTGTATTTATTTTAACAACTTTTTGCTTTAATCATTTTAAGTATAACCTTTTTGGTAGCTCTGAGATACTTTATAATTTAAGCTTTTATTTTTGTTTTGTTTTGTTTTAGAGACAGGGTCTCACTCTGTCACCCAGGCTAGAGTGCAGTGGCATGATCATAGCTCACAGCAACCTTGAATCCCTGGGTTCAAACGATCCTTCTACAAGTATTCTCAGAACTAGGGAAGTACTTGAATACCTTGACCTCTAAATAAGTATCAACAGGTGGCTAATTATGTCTTCCTTGCTAGAGAGATGGACAGATGAACATTTTACTCTGAAGTTGGTCTGAATTTTCAAGAACAAAAATTGTACTGTGTCCCTGGGAAGGTTTTATAGCCTAAATGTTCAGAATGAGCTAATGAATTCTATTTACAAAAACCTGGACAAAACAGACTGCAACAGTGCTGTTCACAATAGTAAAGATATGAACTCAACCTAAGTATCCATCAGTAGATAAAGGGACAAAGAAAATGTGGTACATATACATGATGGAGTACTATTTGGCCATAAAGAAGAATGAAATCACATCTATTGCAGCAATATGGATGGAATAGAGGTCATTGTTAGGTGAAATAAGCCAAACAGAGAAAGACAAAGTTTGCATGTTTTCACTGATATATGGGAGCTGAAAAAGTTGATCCCATGGAAGTAGAGAGTCGAATAATAATGGCTGCCAGAGGCTGGGAAGTGTGTGTGGGTAGGAGGCTAAGGGGATGAAAAGGGGATGGTCAGTGGGTACAAATGTACATTTAGAAGTCATCAGTTAGAAGTCATAAGTTCTATTGTCTAATAGAACAATAGGGTGACTATAGTTAGCAACAATGCATTGCATATTTCAAAATAGCTAGAAAAGAGAACTTAAAATGTTCCCAACACATGGAAATGATAACTACTCAAGGTGACAAATACCTTAGATACCCTAACTTGATCATGATACATTCTTTGCATGTAACAAAATATCACATGTACCCTATAAATATGTAAAATATTATGTATCCTTTTTTAAAAAAGACTACAACAAATTATAATAGGAACTGTAACAAACTGTAATGAGGAATTTATATTTCTTTATTTTATTTTATTTTATTTTATTTTTTGAGACAGAGTCTCACTTTGTTGCCCAGGCTAGAGTGAATGCCATGGCGTCAGCCTAGCTCACAGCAACCTCAAACTCCTGGGCTCAAGCAGTCCTCCTGCCTCAGCCTCCCAAGTAGTTGGGACTACAGGCATGCACCACCATGCCCGGCCAATTTTTTCTATATATATTAGTTGGCCAAT